CAACAAGCGCAAAACTTCCCACTGGCCTTTCTGAGCTGCAATCATTAAAGCCGTTGCCCCCCGTGTGTTTGTCGAATCTTTGTCAGCTCCAGCCTCGACCAACAATCGCACAACTTCCACATGGCCGCTGTCAGCCGCAATCATCAAAGATGTTGCGCCATTTGTGTTTACTGAATCTTTGTCAGCTCCAGCCTCGACCAGCAAGCGCACAACTTCCACGTGGCCGTTTTTTGCTGCAATCATCAAGGCCGTTACTCCATCTGTGTTTGCTGAATCTTTGTCAGCTCCAGCCTCGACCAACAAGCGCACAACTTCCAAGTGGCCATTTTGGGCTGCAATCAACAAAGCCGATATCCCTTTTTTGTTTGCTGCATCTTTGTCAGCTCCAGCCTCGACCAACAAGCGCACAACTCCCAAGTGGCCTTCCTGAGCTGCAAGCAACAAAGCAGTAGCGCCATCTGTGTCTGAAGCATCTGCGTCAGCTCCGGCCTTGAGCAACAACCGCACAGCGTCCAAGTGGCCCTTGTCGGCTGCAGGCAACAAAAAAGTTGCCGCGTGTGCAATTAATGCATCTTTGTCAGCTCTAGCTTCGAGCAACAAGCGCACAACGTTCCAGTGGCTTTTCTGAGCTGCAAGCAACAAAGCATTAGACCCATCTTTGTAGAAAGCATCTGTGTGAGCTGCAGCGTTGAGCAACAATCGCACAACTTCCAAGTGGCCATTTTTTGCTGCAGTCATCAAAGCCGTTACCCCATGTGTGTTTGCTGCAGCTGTCTCAGCTCCAGCCTCGAGCAACAATCGGACGAGTTCCAGGTGGCCATTTTTTGCTGCAACCATCAAAGCCGTTGCCCCGTTTCTGTTTGTTGCCAAATTTGGATCTTGGGGTTTTTGAAGCAGTCTTTCAACCTCATCCACATCATTTGCCTCACACTCGCGAAGCAGTTCTTCCTCCGCAGTCTTATCAAAAGGACAAAGGGGCAGGATTACGAGCCGTACACTCCGTAGTGGTCTTACCAGCATGTCATCCTGCAGTTCGAGTTCGTCACTGAAGAGTCTTTGCCGAAACCTGGAGCATCCAACCTGAGCGGAAAGGAACTTCTTTAGATCCCGAATGGATGTCCTACCTTCCACCATCCGACGGATGTCATCCTCACCAAGCTGCGCAACTGTCTCGCCGGACAAAGCCGTGACCTGCATCATTGAGATGAAACGAAGCAAGAGGCGCCGGCGAAGAAGCCATGGTCAGACTCTTTCGGCTGCAAAAGGACAAAAAAAACAACAAAACAGCTGCAAGGGGAAGGGCTGTTTCTGCAAGTCAACAACCTGTAACACAGTTAACTGGTTTGTTATTGTTTTCTATTTGCTTGGCTGGTTATCGACCAAGACTGCGAACGACTGCGTTGACCGCTACGCTTGTTCACTAGACTGCGCCGACCGCACCGCAACGACGCTGCAACGAGTTCGATCACAGCTGGTCACGTCGCCCCAGGCAATCGCCGACTTGATATGCAGAATGACTGTTCGAACTTGTCATGAAAAGCCCATGATCTGCCAGCCAAACATGCTCAATTCAACCCACAAAAAAAACGCTTGGGCAACAAACAAAATACAATGAAGACTAGAAAAGTCTCACGACACTTCACTGGTCGTCTGCTTTGTCCTCCCTTTAGAAGAAATAGAAGTTGAAAAGGTCAATTTTGAGACCTTTTCGAGTCCAGTTTGTCTTAGCACCAGTGGCAACAGGATTGCAAAAAATCTGAACCACCCCCCAAAAAAAAACAACCCCTGAACCCCAAAATCATAGCAGCCCCATCTTCGGTCTTTTTGACCAGGTGTGCCAATGAAAGTCCGTTCTTACAGCTCTTACAGCTCTAGGGGCCTTGAGGGGCCTTGAATGTCATGGAATTCACAAACCCAGACGCTCCAAACAGCCCTTGGTCCCTCAAAACCATAGGGATTTGAGGGTCCGGACCCCTCCATATGAGGGCCCTTGAGCGTCTGGGTAGTCCCCTTTGGGACCGTTCCTTTCTTGAAAAACACTTCCTGCTGACCAAGTGAAACAAGCTTGTCATATCAAATAGATGCGATAAGGCTTCTTGTAGGTATTGCAGTATACATTATATTGCAATTATCTAGAGTGTATACACTTGTTTTTTTTGTTTTAATATTATAAGTATAAAAGGGACTGCTCTTTCCAAGTGACACACGCAAGCAATCTCACGTTCGACCCACCCACCAGGCCCAAAAACCCGGTCCAACGTGGTTTTCCGACGCGACCCGTCCAAGCAGTGGATCCGACGCGACCGGTGGATCCGCCGACCACGAATCAAAGCCTACTTTACACTCCATTCTGCCATACTATAGCTTCTTGTTACTATACTAGTAAGTTACGCACTTAGTTACTACTAGTAAGGCACCTGTTACTACTAGCCTTCTTGTTACTACCATGTTTTGTTGGTTTTAATATGCCCAGTTCGGGTCCAGGTACCTCCGTACGAAACGGATGGTCGCCGGAGGATTTCGTACGTACGAAACCAGAGAATGGTCGAACGGGGGTCAAAGGACATCCGAATCGGATGGTCCTGGACCCTTAGGGATGGTTTTGAATAAACTGTGTATTGCATCAACCCCAAATTTGGTGCTTCCAGCACCCAAACACGACCGCCATCGGGGACTGCCAGGACGGACTGCCGAGAAACGGCCAGGGGTGGTGCCAGAGGGGTCAATGTAGGCATATATGGCAGTCTCATGGAGTGTTTGGGATATTTGGTTGGTTTTAATTCGTAAAGGCCAAAAACCGTCTTTCAGCATCCAGTTATGAAACAACACAGGAAACCACAGGAAATCGTGTGACGATTGTCCTACAGTATCGGTTTTTAGGGGGGTCAGGTTGAATCTTTCCTGGTGATTTCAACCACCCTAAGGATCCTTGGACCCTCCTTAGAAGGGGTCGAACCCTCTAGTTCACAAGGGTTTGGGGCCCCGAACCAAACCCTTGTTTTTGAGGGTGCGGATCCTTAGGGCAGAACAGTTTCTCGAATTGGATCCCGTACGTGGACCCTCCGACCCCTCGGGGTGTCCGGACTACCCCACACCGACCGGCCGTTCGGCGACAGGGCACCCCGAGGGTTATGGAGGGTCCGTTTGTATGTTTCCCCCACTTTTCACCCATTCCCATTCCAAGTACCTTCTGAGGAGGTACGACTGGAGCCCTATAGGGTCAGAGAACCACGGAACCCCACCAACAAGGGATTCGTCGTCTGCGAACCTCGCAGTTGAACGGCGCACGTCGCCCCACGTCTCCCCCCCGGATTCGTCCTTCGGACTGGAAGTCCTAAACGCCCTGAAGTCGATCGCCGAACCCTCGCCGAGTGGCTTGCGGCTGGCGTGACGGCTCGCCATGGCATCAAAGCCCACGCCATCGCCGAGGGTCATCGGAGCGGAGGGACGCCACCGGTAAGAAGCGCGGCGGAGGGACGCGACGCCCGGTTGTTGAAACAAGAAACGGTGGCCCCTTTTTAAAGGCAGCAGAGGGTTCATTGTAAGTGACTTCTGCTTATTGAAACAAGTTTTGGTCTGTTGGAATGAAATGATAATAACAATATGATAAGATAAGTATAGTTTTATATGCATGTGTTTCACTGCTTCTTTCTTTTTGTTTTTCGTTGTTTTTTTTAAAACCAACTATTTCTTGCAGAAACGATCATGCGGTGTTCGCTCACAGAGGTTTGTTTTCTTTTTCAATGCATCGTTTCATTATTTCCAGTTTGGAGGGTGTCGCATCTTATTTGATGCTCTGTATTCATCTGTGACATGAGTCGATAAGTGTATACAAAAACAACAAACAAAGAAGCAACATAACAGTTGAGTTGAGTATATATACAAACAATAATACGTACATAGATTCTCGGATATGTTTCCGCTGGATTGATCGAACGTCTTCCAACTGACTTCATGTCTCTGCTTCACCGCGCGATGGACGCGAGCATGGTCCATTCAAACTCCATGAGCTCAAGAGAACGCACGTCAAACAACAGGAATGACCTGCAGTGCCTCACGTCTTTCGAGCGCCCAACCGGACCCATTGAAGGTCTGCATGGCTCCGAGAACTCCCCACGAAAGAACTGTGAGAACTCCACGGGCAAGAACCGTGTCATGTGATGCTGGATCATGGTTCCCATGCAACGGTGGACTCGCGAACGCCACGGATTCACGCTTGTCTTGCCCGGATCCCGGAATAACATCTCTAAAGAGGTGCCTAAGGGCGCTTCAGGGTCTGAGTTGCACGCATTGCACGCTTTGAGATGATGAATCTATCGCTCCTTTCATCGGTTCACGTACCAAAAGAGCCATCCCTCAAAGGTAAAATCCTTGTCATCCAGGGCCCGTTTTGGATGATGATGGGGCCGAGGCCGTTGCAGGCCGACAGTTCAAACATTGATTTGCTTCTTGCACCAGGTGCTGTTACAGGCAAGTTCGGACCGACCCAAACCAACCGTTAATCTACGAACATCTGCCTACTGGAAAACACGTGATCGATGTAGCCGGGGATCACCAGTCTACAAGAAAACATCAGAAAACGCTGCTGGGTGTCTCTTTCATTTTGAGGAAGGAAGATCCTTGAAGAAACAGGGTCATGGCCCAGCTTCGAAACAGTTCGTGGAACGTCCGAAATGGGCCTCCATCCCAGCATCGAATCCCCCGTTTTCGGGCCGGAGGAGCCCGAGGAGTCTGTGGTTCACCTGTTTCCCAGCTCGACCCGAACGTCGAACGGACGAAGCAGCCGAGCCGTTCGACTCCCCTCTGGAAAACGGACGAGCAGCGAGCGAAAGCCGCACCGACCAAAACATCTGCAGAAAAGATAGCAGCGGTTTTGAGTCAGTGAGTGAATACTGGGCACCCCTACCCTCCAATATGCACCCCTTTCAGTGTATATATGTTACATGCTTAGACCGCCCTCCCCAAGCCCCTTCCTGATCAGCAAAAATGAGGACCCCTGCGGTCATTGGGCACAAAGCGAATGGATGTCGTCTGGATTCATCCTATGTTCGATGTGCTTCTCACCTGCTAAGTCGCCACGCCCACTTGTCAGGCAGAACAGTGAGCTCTTGTCCTGTCAAGTATATAGCTTCCACTGTTCGACAACAAGACCACGTTTCTAGCAAAGCAGCGGGAGACTCATTCACCTCAAACAAAAATGATTTTCCAAAGAACACTGGCAACTCTGCCAAGGATTTGTGATGATCTTCCAAATGTTGTTGTTCTTGTGCTTTGTTCGCAGATGGCTACAGCGCATTCCCTGCCGAACACGCCCGCCCCAGTCCCGTTGCCCGGTCCCGGTCCTGGTCTCCGTCCCGAAACCGCTTTGCTAGAGAGTCTGACGAGTTCGACACGGGATGGCCTTTGCCGAACGGGAGGAGGTCCGGGGTGTTTCCCAGGAACATCCCCTTAAGTTGTGACTCCTGGCGCTAAAGACCTCACACCCGCCCTTTAACAACAACTGCTCGGAAGGCCTGCTAAACATATGGCCTCTTGGGGCTCCAACACCTTTTGAAGAAGGTGTGGCCACACGAAAAAAGAGAATCCAGGAGGCCTACACCAGGGCCCCCTAAGGGGTGGTCAATGGACATCCCTTAACCTCTAAGGAGCTATATTAGGGGCCCTGGCAATGTCCTACATATTAGAACAAGAGTCTGATTGTGGAACATCTACGCCGTATCCGCATCGACTGCTCCGGCGCGACAAGCAAAGAAACAACAGCAAAACGATCCTAGGAGCAACACGGATGGCAATGCCCACCTCAAACGGGCAATGTTGAATCTTGATTGCTAAACCCCTCAGGTTCTAATGTAGACTCTTGATTAGTAACTCTCCCCATTTAGATTGAACAACCTTTTCATATGGGGTGTTTATTAATCATAAGAGTCTACATTATAGTGCATGTGATTGAACATCTTCAACCTCTGGTGACTCTGGTGGGTGTTCATCAAGATCCAACATGATCCAACATGACCGCACCAGATCCTCTTTGGATAATAAAATATATCCAACTTGGTGATGGATCCATCTTGATCCGGACATAGTGCCCAAACCTCCTCATTGCTGATCAACCAAACTCGAACAATCAAATTCAACAAACCACCCTAAACCGACCCCCAACCGCCCTGCCAACCTATATCGTTCTCCAGCCAAAACGCCATCCCTTTTTTCGCTCGCACCAGCCCATCTTCCACACGACCTTCACGGCCACGGCGGGTCTTCAGCGCCACGCGCCACGCACGCCACGCACGCCACGGAGCAGCTGCGCGGCTCATTCCAAGTCCAGGAGCTCACTGACCTGGCGCGTGCGGCGAGTCCGGGAGGTGCGACGAGGAGCGCCTGGAGTCCCGCCCCCGGCGAAGTGGCTTGCCACATCGGCCCGGAGTTGGTGTTCGGAAAGCACCGTCTTCCAAGAGGCCAGGCCATCCACTTCAGGGCAACGAACACCAAGAACAAGGGCCTCTATGTTTGGCCTTGATTCTTGCTTTACAGATGCAAGCCCTTTAGAACCCTGCACTTCCACTTCGTTTGGTGGAGCTATAGGGCCACAACAACAGACTCCGCGGGTGCCGCCTGGTGGGCGACCCCACGACCGGTGTGGGAGATGACGGTTCGGCGGATCCATGGTGAATGAGGTGCGACTGCTGTTAGATCTGAAGTAAGAGGGTAGTGGAGTGGATCCAAAGCCGTATTTTTCTCAGTCTTTTCCGAGTGTTTGCTCCGCGTGGTTTTTGGATCTTCATCATATTTTTAGCTAATCAACACACCAGGAATGTTGACAAAAGAGTGGAACCCAACAGGAAACCTGTCGGATGTCCTTCTGCATGCCGTCCCAAGGTGAAAGGAAGGGTGCAATTTACTATCTCAAGGTTTGACATTCTATAGATTGGACATAGAAACTGAATGGTTTATCATCAGTTCCAAGACTGATGTTTCCAAGACTGATGGATTGATCAATGATTCTTCTACAATTTGACTCAACAATCACGTGGAAGAGGAGTTCACCCCCTGTTTCCAAGGGGCCACACCATCCACTTCCACTTCCACGTGTTCATCCGAGTGCACCTGCAAATCCCTCGTGAAGATCCCATCACCGATCCACTAGGTTGTGGATCATAGCACCGCAACCCATCGGAACAAAAAAAACAAAGCCATCACATACCAGTCTTCCCCTGCACATGAAATGGGTTTTCCCTAGCTTGGATGTGATTAAGGAACCGGACAATTTGACAAACAAAAGGGCATTTACATGCATTTACCCCTATATAAACATCACCCTAAGCAAAACCATGCTACGACATGCTACGACACTATGTCTCTGTCTGGTGTGATTGGCCAGCAGGCCCGCACCAGTTTGTTGAGGTCAGTGTCATGTCTGTCAGAGCGCTGCCACAGCTGTCAGAGCGTGACATTGTTGCACTATAGCTAAAGGAAAAGTGTAGACCGCCTGCAAGCCTTACCTCACATGCCAAGTGTGCCGTAACAACAACAATAAAGGTGACGCGCAAATTCTACTCAAGCCTTGGGTGGGGGCAAGCTCCTGTGTTAGCCGCATCAACAATCGCAGTCTTCAGGCTGCTGCCACCTACTCACCGGTTGAGGTCTAGATATCCAATTACAGCTTCATGGCCCTCGGGTATCCCCACCATCGGTCGCTTTGTGGATGATTTCCCACGTGCGGAGGGGCAGGGGGCCTCTACATCGACATCAATCGATTCTCGTTGTCATGCTGCCATGCGGCACGGCAAGTTGCAGCCATCTATCGGGGTGGAGTTGCCACTTTCGATTCTATTAGGGCATCCACGTAGGCAAAGATAAAAGGATGATAAAGGGTAGCCCCAAAACTAAAACCTCTTCATGACTTCCCTTCACTCACATGTTACACTTTGTCTGAACCATTTGAATCCACCAGCTCCCCAACAAAAAAGCCAGCGTAACCAAAAACCCACAGACTGCGGCCATAGAACCCATTCCCCCTTCCCGTGCACGACGGCTGCTCACCCGCTCCCGTTCCACCGGGCGAAGCCGCGACCCGTGGCCACCGTTCAGCGGCTTCCAGCGTGCCTTCCAGTCCTCGTAGGTGTTGTCCGGGAGGAAGCGGCGAATCACGAAGGGGATCACACGCTGGATCAGCTCCTGGTTGCGTGGCGGTTGGGAGCTGAGAGCGGAGATGAGCGGAGTTCGTGGGATGGGTGGTATATGTCGTGTGTGTGTGTTGTATCTGTGCAGCGGTGAAGTGGAGATGAACAGGGATGAGCACGTGTTGCAAAGAATGCAAAATAATCAAAATAGATGTGAGATATTCTGTGGTGGGTCAAAGTTTGGTGGTCAGTGTACTCTGACCCACTCTCTGACCCTGCTGACCGATCGAACCAAGTATCGTCAGAAGTGATATGTGGAAACTATCGGAGAAACAACAGTGTATGCGTGGCACCTAACTCACAAAGGGATCTCTTTGAACCGCATCACTAAGCAGCAACAATTATACATCAATTCAGATCACTCTTAGCCCCATTGAGCCCCACTCACATCGTCCCATGTTTCGTCTCATCTCCTTGCTCTCCAACTACCCCCCCACCCCGGACCTAGCGACTTCGCACCGACCGACCGCGACCGACCTTCTCGGCGATGAGCAGCGGATCGGTCTCACCCTCGAGGGTCACCATGACCGGAGCCTCGAGACTCGACTCGACGAAGAACGGGGTGGTTTGTACAACGGACCGAGTTCGTTGATTGACCTGCGGAGCGTTGGTCTATAGGTGAGACGATATAGGTCACGCCTGCGGAGCGTTGTCTATAGGTTGAGAGGATGATTAGGTCATGACGTCACGTATAGTTGTGTGATCGTCATTTTGCATGGGAAAGGCGTGTTTTTCTTGGTACAGGCATGGCGCAAGCAGTGTACACACGCAATGAGGGATGCCTTGAGGCACCTATGGTGAAAGGTACGTAGGGGTGCGAGTCACCTGGTTTAGTGGGGTGTCCCCTATCCTCCAATAGAAAGGTTGTAAGTTGAAGGTTATCCCCGTTCCTGGGGTCTGCCGGTCGACGCCGACGTTGACTCCCCAGACTCCACCTAATTTGGAGACATTGATGCTTTAAACTCCAAGCCAAGCATAACCCTACACCTCCAGTCGTACCTCCTCAGGTTCGGTATGACTGGACCCGACAATGGCACCCACCCCAGTTCCACCTTCTCAGGTTCGGTACGACTGGGGTCGGCGCAGGGGTTTAGTGTGCGGAGGCTGTGTTTTGAGAACACATACCAGATGTATCACAATTGGGGAAGAAACTGCAAGCCATTGTGTTTGAGAAACGAGAGCCTATCAAGCGGACCAGCTCACCAGGTGTCTCAAGCTGGTTCAGTCCAGTCACCAAATCGCAGACCCCAACCTTGGGCTCGTACTCCACCAGCCATGCAATAAGATCATTGAAAATGGTGTTCCCTACACCTCCAAGTACCTCCTCAGGTTCGGTATGACTGGACCCGACGTTTTGGCACCCGGGCCCCCAGTTCCACCTTCTCAGGTTCGGTACAACTGGAGGCCAAACGGGATTGCATTTGCTGTGCAACCTGATAGGGCCTGATAGGGTCGGGTGCCATCCGCTTTGTCCAACGTCCGGGTGCATACTTGCACCCCTCATGTGTGGGGTGGTTCATGCACACCCCGCATCACCTCTTTTCGGAGCTATTATTCGACATCCCGAAATGGGGCCCAGGACGACTGGAGCCCTAGGGTTGAGTCCACACCCCCAACAAAAACCATCGATTCCAACGGTAAAAAATACCTCCTCCGCCCCCGGGACGTTCGCTGATCTCATGGCCGCCGCGTCACGTTCATGCTGATCTGCAAGGCGCGAGCACCTAAGATCCGAGCACCTCGGTGTGGGTGAAGGCGGTCGGTCTTCCACCCGCGCGGTCTGGGGTTGCGGAACGGCTGATCCTTTCTGGGGAAGTCTATGCCAAGAGAGGTTAAGTGACCTTATAGGACCATTCTGGGGCACCTATGGGATAGTCTATAAGGATCTAGAAGGTTCTTCAACCTCTGTTGGTGATGATCCAGGACCTTCAGTACGTGACCTCTTTGGAGTCTGTATAAGTGACCTCTTCAGGGACGGACTATGACCGACCCGCCACTGGGAATGGTCTATCCCCTTATAGGGGTGCAGGGACCCTCCGTTCGTCCCTGAAAGACTCCCCGGCAACGACCATTCGACCTGGTGGAAGTTCGTACGAACACCTCCGGCAACGACCCTCCGTTTCGTACGGAGGGTACCTGGACTTGATCCCAGACACGACCCGTCTGGGACTGCCATGTCGGACTGCCGATCAAGCCAGACCCCGACTTCAACCACCCCTGGCCTGATCGGTAAATATACCAGTCCCATGGAGTGTCGGGTATGGGATCATGATGTTTGGGGCTTTTGAGGGGCAGAGTGGAGTGATGGTCCGGTATAGATCTACCGCTTTGGTACACGGTATAGATCTACCTGGGATAGCCACGGTGTCGAACTTTTGGAGGGGTGATCCGCATAATGCTGGAGACTGGAGAAGGTATGTGGCTATCAAAAACACTCGTGAATCTCCTCAGTTCTTGCGCTAGTGCACCCCAAACTGCAGAGTGTTCCAGAAACGGCGAAGAAAATATCCCGACGTCTTCTCCTGGAACCTAACCACCCTCATGCCACCAAATGCAGTGATGTTTCAACAATTAGTGCAACCATCCAAAGCCTGAGCGCATGAACCACATGTTAACATTAACTTGATGCCTTAAACCGGCCCTTGTCTGTTTCCTTCTTATCCTTCATCTATGTCTTTTATATTTAATATATGTTGTTCTCAGTGGGTCTGCGAGTCCCTCTGTCTGTTTGCTGATCTCTGTGTGTTGGTCTTGATTTGTTGGCTGGATTGTTTGGTTGGGTTGGTTGGTTGCTTGCTTGTTGGTTGGTTGCTTGATGGCTTGGTTGGTTGGTGGGTGGGTGTCGGTCCCATGTCCGGTGACTGAAACCACATCCAAGACAGGAACAGTTGCAGGAGTGGCAGCAAAGATCTCTCATCAAAAAAACACTGCCAATGACAGATCTCTCCGAAAGTAGACTTTCACTCTAGAAGCCTTCATCAAAAATGTCTGCCAGTAAAAGATCTCTGGGAACTGACCCTCTAGAGTTCTTCATCAAGAACCTTGGGGAAAGTAGAACTGCCAGTTCAAGATTTCTGGGAGCGCAGAATTCCAACCAGACAACCAGCCAGCCAACCAAGACAAACACGCACAGAAACAGGCAAACAGACACACATAGAAAGGAAGGAAGGAAGGAAGGAAGGAAGGAAGGAAGGAAGGAAGGAAG